GGCACTGGGGGGGCACAGGAGAGATCCAGGTGGTGACCGCCCTCAGGACCCCCCCAGCGCCCCGAGGACAGCCCAGGTTTTGGGCTGAGGCTCAGCAGCCCCGCGGGACCCCCTGCTCACCGCAGCCGTACGCCTTGTTGGCCTCCATGGTGCGGGCGGCGGCCTTGGCGGCGTCGGAGCCGATCAGGTGCCGGTATTTGTCCTTGTAGTCGTTGGGGGGCCCCGGGGGGGCGGGACCGCGCTCAAGCTCCGCTTCTTCCTGCTGTGCCGCCAGCTCCTGCAGGGGAGGGGTCAGCAGCAAGCCCTGCCCACCGCACCACACCCACCCAGGCCGTGCCACACCCGTGTAAGCCCCACCTCCACCATGCAGCCGTGCCCCACCCATCCTGCCACGCCCTGTTGAGCCCCGCCCACATCCCAATTAAATCCCACTGAGCCCCGCCTACCCGGAGGCGCCGCCGCTCTTCAGCCCGGGCCGGGTCCCATTCCTCCCCACGCCGATACGCCTCCAGCTCCTCGTCCGACGGCGCGAACTCCTGGGGACAGCGGCGTCACCCTGTGTTCCCTCGCCTCCCCCGGTCTCCCCCGGAGCGTCTCCCGCCATCCCCCACCTTTTTGAACACCATTACATAGCGACTGTCCTCGTCATCTCCAAAGGAGAAAGACGTCAGGCCGGCCACCTCCGCCACGTCGTGCCTGGGGGAACACGGAGACGCTGGCACTGGGGCTCCCCACTTCTCCCCGGCGGGGTCCCTGCCCTCCCCGTGAGGGTCCCCAGCTGCCCCAGGGGTGCTGCCATCCTGGGACCACCCCCGTGTCCCCAGTGTCCAACCCCAGCACGCACAGCGCTGCCCCACAGTGCCACCATGGTCCCCCCAGTGTCCCCAGCATCCTCCCATCCCCGTGTCCCTCAGCGTCCCCAGCGTTCTCCCAAGCGCTCCCAGTACCACCAGTGTCCCCAGTCCCACCACTGCCCTCCCAGTGCCCCCAGTGCCCTCCCAGTGCTCCCCAGTGCCCCCCAGGGTCTCACTCACAGGATGCTCCTCTCGATCTTGTTCATGGGCTGGAACCGGCGCCGGGGCTCCCCGGTGGCCTGGATGAACTGGGACACCTCTTGCTCCATCTGGGGACACACGGACAGCCCAGGGGAGCCCAGGAATTTGTGGGGGCCCGTGGGGAGCGGCCCGAAATGCCCAGTGACGCACGGCCCTGCACTCACCCTCTTCCTGAACTCCACCTTCTGCCGCTTCTCTTGCTCCTGCAGCTTCTTCATGCGAGCAGCTTGCTCTGGAGTGGACACGGGGGGGTCAGGGCGGCCGTGACCTCCCAAAAATTTGGGGCAGTGGAGGGGGCGGGGCCTGGGATGGGCGTGGCATGTGACCCACAGGGTGCAGGGCAGGGGCGTGGCCATACAGCACCCTGCTGTCAATCAATGCAGAAAGGGCGTGGCCA